AGAACATTGGGGCTGCTCAGCCTGGAGAAGAGAAGCTGCGTGGGGACCTCAGAGCAGCTTCCAGTGTCTGAAGGGGGCTACAAGGACGCTGGAGAGGGACTCTTCATCAGGGACTGCAGTGATAAGACAAGGGGTGGTGGGTTCAGACTGAAAGAGGGGAAGTTCAGGTTGGAGATAAGGCAGAAGCTCTTCCCTGGGAGGGTGCTGAGGCACTGGCACAGGGTGCCCAGAGAAGCTGTGGCTGCCCCATCCCTGGCAGTGCTCAAGGCCGGGTTGGACACAGGGGCTTGAAGCAAGCTGCTCTATGGAAGGGGTCCCTGCCTGTGGCAGGGGTTTGGGACCAGATGAGCTTTAAGGTCCCTTCAACCCAAACCAGTCTGGGGTTCTATGAGCTGTCTAAAGGCTGACAACATGGTGTCCTGCCCTGCTGTGGGCAGAACTGGGGCATAATGACCCCAGGCTGTTTGGTCTTTGCCCACCCTTTGTGAGCAGTGCAATGGCAGGGCTTAAGGACTTGCTGCGGGGACTTGCAAGGGTCCTCCCTCGTTGTGCCCGGCTCAGGATGAAGACTGAGCATACAGGTGCAGGTCACACAAGTTCCATCCTGCTGCTGCCTTGGGTCAATGCAGAAGCTGCACCGAGACAACACGTCCGTGGTGAAACTGGGCTGAGAGAAACTGCAGACAGAACAGTGATGCTCCAAGCTGTCACCCGGCACTAAGGGGACAGAAGCACCTCTGCCAGCCTCTAGCTGGTAGCTGCAGTCAGGAGGGTACAATTAAAGTGGTGCTACCCCTCCTCCATGGAGACCGAGTGCCAAATGAAAGCAGAGCGGTGTTCTGTCACAAACACTGGCGTTTTACACCCATTTTTGCCTCTCTGCAGCCCAATAACATGGGATTTGCTATCACATGCTTTGCTGGAAGAAACTGCAGTGTTGCAGGCTTGTGGGCATCCAGAGATGAGAACCTCCATCTCTTCACTTTTGCCTCAAGAGTTACTTATCCTCATGGTTGTAACCATGTGGTTTTCTTCCCATTTGACATTACCTGTCTGCTCCTCCCAGCCACAGCATCCTCCTCTACCTCCTGTGCTTGGCCAGAGAGCCCTTTATGGCCCCTTCATTGCATGAAGGTAGGTACTTCCCATGACCAAGGGGTTATTCTTGGTAAAGACCCAGAGCACTGCAAATTCTCCTCTCCCCTCACCTCTTCCACTCTGTCTTACTGGGAAGGTTTCTGCACATTTCTAAGATTACAACACCTGTTCTGAAAAGAATAAAACCTCTTCCATTTCCCTCATGCACCAGCACCGGGCCCCTTGGGTCCCAGCGTCAGCCTCTCAACCTCCGTCTGCTGCTTGCCAGAGTCTCTGCTCCCTACTCTACTCCCTACCCCCAGTAGCTAAATACTCTGGTATTTAGCTATTGCAGACAATTCCTTTGAAGGCCCAAGCCTGTGCATCTCTCTAAGCTCTTCTACATAAATAATGCTGGGGAAAGGCAAGTTAAGGCACAATTTGTGCTGAATCTGGGGACACCTGCTGAAAGTCCCACAGTCACTACTAGTGTGGGGCCAGCCGCTGCAGCGTTGCTGCAGAAACACAGGCTTTTTGTGATGATGCTTCTGACAGCTTCCTTTTGAGGGCTACTGATCACCCAGCTCTTCACCCCCTTTGCTGATGCTCCCCAGGCCTTGCGCTGTGCCAGCCCCTCAGCTCGGAGCAGCGTGGCGGAGACACGTTGCTGTTAGATAACTCTGTGATGATTAACTAAACTTGCCGTCCCATCAGCAAACGAAATCAGGTTTGTTTGACAGGGGCTGTTTCCTGCAAATCCACCTTGATTGCTTTAATTTCATTTGATTCCAATCCTTTAATTCTTTATTGACCAAATCTCCTGTTAAGTTCTTGGGCGCTCTGCTGGGCATTGACGTCAGGCAGAGCAATCTGCAGCTAATCACATCATCGCTCCTGCTCGCTCAAGTAATGGCCTGAGGAAGCGTCTGCAGTGACCGTGGCATGCCAGGACTCACAGAAGTTGACAGAAGAGGCCGAAGTCCTCCTTGGCCACCTCAGGGATGCTTTTCCCTTGTGCAGACTACCCAGACCCACGGCTCTATTTGCTTTCTGTTCCTAGCAGTACATCCATTCTGTTCAACATCCTTCTCAGGTACTAATCAACCAAATTAACGTTACAGCTGGAGTTCTGACTGCCTTTCCCTCCGGTGGCCATGGACCTCTCTTCTCCATGCAGAGAGGCAGATGTTTGCATCTGCTTTTATGTGGTTTCTCTACCTAACAGCTTCTAACTCCCATCAGATCCTGACCAGCTCCCTCATTTCACCCTATCCATGGTGCTTTGGCTGTGACTCCTGGTGCTCCATTCCCTCCCCTGGCTACATCTGTCCTTTCCTGCAAGTGTGGAGTGGAGCTTGGCCCCCAGCTGCACTTGTTCAGGACACCTCCTAAGCGACTCCGCAGGTTCCTTGTCTGAATTCCCTCTGCCTTTAAGTTCCCCAACTCTGGGAAATGGAACTTCAATGAAAAATCAGCACTGCGCATTGGGGTCACACCACCGGGCCCGTGGAGCCACCAGCTTCCTTCCCTGCAGCTTCGATCATCTGCGCTCCTCACAGTTCGGGCTGGATGCAGAACCCTCAGACTGAAGGAGTGGTCCCTGCACTCTCCCACAACACTTTGTCTCCTTTGTCACATCTTCCAGCCTGAGCTCTCCCCATCTCAACCCCTCCGTCCCTTCCCTCCTCATCGCAGACGCCTCAGGGGCAGTGGGAATTGTCTGCTGCAGCAGAGTGAGTCCTTCATGGAACTACAGAGCCATGGAATGGTTTGGGTTGGAAATGACCTTGCAGCTCATCCAGTTCCAACCCCTGCCATGGGCAGGGACACCTTCCATAGAGCAGCTTGCTCCAAGTCCCCAGCATGAGAAGAATGTGGAGCTGTTGGAGCAAGTCCAGAGGAGGGCATGAAGATGCTGTGAGGGCTGGAGCAGCTCTGCTCTGGAGCCAGGCTGAGAGAGCTGGGCTGGGGCAGCCTGGAGAAGAGAAGGCTCCTGAAGGGGAGACCTGAGAGCAGCTCCAGTGCCTGAAGGGGCTGCAGGAAAGCTGGAGAGGGGCTTGGGACAAGGGATGTAGGGACAGGCCAAGGGGAATGGCTTGAACCTGCCCGAGGGGAGACTGAGCTGAGCTCTTAGGCAGAAGCTCTTCCCTGGGAGGGTGCTGAGGCGCTGGCACAGGGTGCCCAGAGAAGCTGTGGCTGCCCCATCCCTGGCAGTGTTCAAGGCTGGGTTGGATGTTATAGATTCATCCGTACAGATGAAACCAAGCTGACTCTTCTGCAGCAGTGCCTGGGTTTGGTTAAAAGGTTGGGATCTACTTGTTCACTTTCCTAACTCAAGTCCTATTTTTACCTAACAAATACTCACAAACCAGGGCTCTGCAGCCCAGTTCCAGTTGAGAAAAAACTCCAAAAGCTTAAAAAACTGCTTTTAAAAATATTTCCCAGCAATTGCCTCTTCCCAACTGACTCACCCTGGGCACCAGACAGGGCAGATACCGACGTCCCACCAACCTCCCTTCCTTTGGCACCCAGAGCTGTCTCCGTGCCCTGGCTGATGCCCGTCCTGCCATAGAGGCACTCACCTTGCTCTCTGCTTGCTGCCACCACTGGGGATGCCCACACCGAGAAGAGAGGAAGCATCTCCTGTGTGCAGGGGCATAAATCGCCCCAGGCAATGCCGGCGGGAGCCTCCTGGATGGAGATCCCCAGGAGCACCCGGAGCCCTCCCCAGGCACCCTCTGTAATGGCCTCAGCGGGGGGGGGTTGGAGGACAGCAGCCTTAGTCCCAGCTCAGCTCTCTCTCGTCCCATTTCCTTTCCAAGTGGTGGGTGTCAGGAGCTGACCGAGTCCGGCAGGCATCGGCTGTCTCCAGCGCAGTGAAAACCTTCCCTGTGTTTCTGCCTGGAGCAGTGCACGGGCAGGCTCATTTCTGGCTGTGCCGAACCAGGAGCTGCAGTCTCTCCGTCCAAAGAGCACGAACTGTCCTTGCCCCCACGAGGCTCCCATTTCACCCAGCAGCAGGCTGAAATGTGCAATTTCTCCACAGTAAAAGCAGTTTCAAGGGAGCACAAACATTCTGTCAAAGCTGTTTCAAGATGTCAGGAAAAGTCCAGCAGAAAGTCAAATAATCACAAAAAAGGCAGGAAGAAAAGGTTTTGAAGCACGGAATGACCCAGCCAAACCTGTTTTGAAGCTGAAGGTGTTTCCCTGAGCTTAGTTTTTAAACTAATGTAGAAATGAGGACTAAGCACAACAGTTTGGGTGGGATTCATCCCAACAAACACAGGTGGCTGCTGTAGACCTGGTGCCAGTCCATGCCTGGAGCTGGTCCTCCAGGTTGCCTTCATAACCATGGTCTCAGTGATTTTAGGGCAGTATTCATCCCAGCCTGAAGCTGACACCTGAAATAGGGCAGAGGAATGATGCTGCACCAGCACCTTTCAGTGCAGTGATGGAAGGGGATGGTGGTGACTGTGTGGACCTCTACCCCGAGTGCGTCTGAGCAGGACGGGGGCTGTCCCGCTCCCTGCTGTGGGAGGAAACACGCCATCTCTGAGTGCTTCCCTTCTGATTCCTTGTGTTAATGGACACAGTCCCCCGAGCTGAACCCTCTGCTCTTCCACCACCCTCAGACCCAAGGGAGGTCGTGGCTCCTCTCCTCGAGCAGAGGACCATGAGCACCTCTGAGATGAGGCCATTCACTTCTGCTGAATTCTCATTTCTCTTTCATCACTGGCTTATCTTAAACATCCTAATGGGAGCTGTCACATAACCTGGCACAACACCTGGGCAATCATAGAATCCCAGACTGCTTTGTGCTGAAGGGAGCTTAAAGCTTCTTCAGTTCCAGCCCCTGCCTCGGGCAGGGACACCTTCCACTAGAGCAGGTTGCACCAGGGAAGTCTCAGCAAGGTTGGGTGCTGCAGCTCCTGCATGGAGCCTGTTGGATGTAGGTGCTGGCTCTGAGGGCTCAGAGGTGTCTGGGGTGCAGCAGGTCCAGCAGCAGCAGGAGCTAACTGGGCTCAGCACACTCAGACCCAGGCCCGCTGTGCTCCAGGCCCCCAGGCAGCCTGGATTTTGCTGGTCAGGTACTTTTGCTCACCACCACAAGCAGACACAGGACTGCTGAGTGTCTCCAAACAGACCCAGTGTTTATTTGCACGTCTTCAGGCTGTGGCCACCAGGACACAGAGCTAGACCCCACTGAGCGTCTCCCCGCTCCAGGCTCCTCACGCCACTGCTGTGAGTTGCTGGATGGGCAGAACGCTGTGAAGAGCTCGGTTTTGGGGATGCTCAGCTTCCATCATGACCCAGGAACGTGCAGAAGCTGCTCTGCCCTCAGGGAGGATGAGCCTCTTGTGCAAGAGAGGCCCAGGGAGGAGAACCTCTGTGGCCATCGCGTCTGCAGCGGTGACAGTCTCCCATTGCTGGCCCTGATAGTCAAGCAGAGACTAAAGAAGACAACACAGGAGACATTTCCCCACTTGGGATGGAATCTGTGTATTGACACAGTTATACCTGAGGCCCTGAAATGTCATTTAAATAATCACAGGGGTGTTGATGGCATCAGGAACATCTCAAAACTCAAAGGTGGCTCTCACTTCTCTGAATCACCTGGGAAGAGGGAAGGGAAATAGGAGCTCATGTTTGCTCATGCTCCCAGTCCCACATAACTCCCATCACAGATTGGGGCCTCATGTGCTTATGGAGGTTCTCCCTCCTCCTCTCATTGCTTCTGTTCACCATGTGCACTTAATGGGAATTTTGGTGCTGTCTCTGCAGGGACGGAAACACCTGGGAAAGCACTGACCCTGCGTCAGGCCCGAACCTTCCTGGAAAAGAGCATTTTGAGCAGAGCCCCACGGATCTGCTTGGTCCTCATGCTGTAAATGATGGGGTTGAGCATGGTGGGGAGGGTGAGGTAGAGATCACCAAGCAGAACCTGTGCAGGCACGGACATGGTGCTGCCGAAATGCTGCACGTAGATGGAGGTTATGCCAGGGATGTAATAGAGCAGCAAGACACAGATGTGGCACCCACAGGTGCTCAGCGCCTTCCAGCACGATTGCTTCTCCAGGACAGTGTTAAGGACCATCCCATAGGAAGCAGCAATGAGAGCCACATCCATCCCCACTATGAGAGAGGACCCAACCACACTGTAAAGCTCGCAGGGTCTGGGGTCTGCACACGCCAGCTTGGCCACGGCCATGTGCTCACAATAGGAATGGGGAATTACACGGGAATGGCAATAGGGGAGGTTGGTCACCATCCATGTCAAGGGGAGCATGAAAAGCTGGGACCTAAGCACAATAGCCAGGCCTATGCGGGCAATGGTTTGGTGGCTCAGGATGGCTCGGTACCTGAGGGGGTGACAGATTGCCACGTAGCGGTCCACAGCCATGGCCAGGAGCACTCCCGACTCCTCCGACGTGGTGGAGTGAACAAGGAACATCTGCACAAAACAGGCCGTGCCACCGATCTCGGTGGAGTTGAGCCAGAGCACGCTCAGCATCTTGGGCACGACGGACGTCACCATCACCACGTCGACCACGGCCAGCATGGCCAGGAGGCAGTGGACGGGCTCCCGCAGGGACTTGTCCAGCCCAATGACCAGCAGCACCGCTCCGTTTCCTAGCAAGGCGATGGTATAGGCTGAGCAGAAAAGGGTGCCCAGGCCGGAGGAGAACGCTTCCAGGAGGGGGACACCCACAAGGGTGAAAGAGGAGGAGCTGCTGTTGGAGGGATCAGGAGCCATGCGGGCGGATGTGGCTTTGTGCTTAAACCAAGGGAGCCCACTTCTGAGCCATGCGATGCGCACAGCCAAGGGGGGAACTGTGGGATCTCTGCATTGGTGCAAGAGCCAAGTCAGGATTCCAAAGCTGAGGGTGAGTCCCTTGCATGCTGCAGGAGCACCACAGCAGAACATGGGTGGCTGGGGGAATGGATCAGGAATGGTGAATAAATGGGATGTGATGGCTCAAAGGGCCTATGAGGTGAAGAAGTTCATGTTTCAGGGGGTGCCAGCAGGAACAACCAAGGGGCTGCCACAGTCTGTTGCTTGGGAAGGGCTCAGTTCTTGACTGGTTGCTCAGCTGGCACTTTAAAATGAGCTGCAAGAGGAGAGAATCGGGTCAGCATCCAGCTTCCCTCGGACAGTGCTTGTACCTGAGCAGCCGGGTTCCTGCAATGGGCACAGCACGGGGAGTTCCTCCAGGTCTGTAAGGCAAAACGTGACCTCAGAAAGTGCTCTGGAATGATAAATGTGATCATGAAAAGGCCTTTTGCTGCCCTGGCTTCATTCTGTCCTTCAGCCGTGAGAGAAACCTGCAAGACTGGGTGGGAGTAAGAGGAAAAGATGAGTTCCTGGGGTTTGTTCTGCTGGGAGGAGCTTGAAGTCAACAGAGAAACTGCAGGGACCAGCCCGGGCAGACAAGGAGCAGAGCCCGAGAGCGCTGGGCAGCAGCATCTGCCCAGGTATTTGTGCCCAGACTGGGCTCCTGCTCCTGCTCCTGCTGCTGCTCCCCCCGTGGTGGCCGGGAGCAGGCAAGTGGTGACCACCCCAGCGCCCTGCCCTTGCCTGCAGGATCCTGCACCAGCAGCTTCACAGCCAGCAGCAAGGGGGGGCCTGGCTGACAGGTCCCATGCCGGGAACAGCATGGAGCAATTCCCGTGGGCAAAGCCCCCCCAGGAGGTCAGGTAGGGTAAAACTGACACAAGACGTGGCCGGGGGGCTGCAGTGGAAGCAGCAGGGACAGAGGTTCGGGGTGGGAACCAAGGAGACTTTGGGAGGCAACTGAGGAAAGAGCATCAGGAGTTTTCAAACAGAGCATTGGGATCTGTGGGCTTTGAACTCTCCACTGACTACGGCTCAGCCCCAGGACTGGGGTTGCTGCAGGAGCTGCTGGCTGGAAAGCCTGGTCAGGACAGGAGCACTCACCTGGGCTAAATGGGTGTGAATTGGGACCCTGGTGATGGTCTGCATCTCCCACAGGGATGCCTCGGGTACCGGGGGGCATCCCAAGTGGCTCTGGACATCCAGGGAAGAGTCAGTGGAGCAATGGGAACCTTCCAGTGTGTGTAAAGGGGCTGCAGGAAAGCTGTAGAGGGACTTGGGACAAGGGCCTGTAGGGCCAGGCCAAGGGGAATGGCTTTAACCTGCCCGAGGGGAGACTGAGCTGAGCTCTTAGGCAGAAGCTCTTCCCTGGGAGGGTGCTGAGGCGCTGGCACAGGGTGCCCGGAGGAGCTGTGCCTCAGACATGAAGCCCTCATGCACAGGAGCATCCGTGGCCACCTACCTGCAGGCACTGACATGTGTCCAAACCCAGAGCCCCGGGTGCCTGCAGCCAAGGCAAGAAGGAATTTGCTTCCAGCAGCTCTGTTCCACACCAGGGCCTGGCTCACGAGGGTTCAGTGTGGCAGCAGCAGTGAAGAGCCCTGATCATGGCTTGTGCTGGCCTGGGAGGGCGAAAAGCAGCACAGGGGAGCTCTGCAGCTGAAGCACAGATTCTGCTCCCGGTCGGAGGGGAAGGACGAGCCCAGCTACCTGTCTTACCTGTAGGGCTGTCACCTGCAGCAGCACACCTCCATGGGCAGCAGCACACCTCCACGGGCAGCAGCACACCTCTATGGGCAGCAGCACACCTCCACAGGCAGCAGCACACCTCTATGGGCAGCAGCACATCTCCATGGGCAGCAGCGCACCTCTATGGGCAGCAGCACATCTCCATGGGCAGCAGCACACCTCTATGGGCAGCAGCACACCTCTATGGGCAGCAGCACACCTCTATGAGCAGCAGCACATCTCCATGGGCAGCAGCACACCTCCACGGGCAGCAGCACACCTATATGGGCAGCAGCACACCTCTATGGGCAGCAGCACATCTTCGTGGGCAGCAGTGTGGGTATTAATCCAGCCTCTGGGAATTCCCTGAGGGACAGCAGACGCAAGAGCCAGAGATCAGGCTGTGTCCTCTGAGGAGATGGAGATTGTCAACACTGCTTCCTCCTGTGTCGTTACCTCTCCCCTTCAGCATCACCCCGCTGGGTCTCAGGGTGCTGGTGCTCTCCAGAGCCTGGCGGTGCCCATGAGACCAATGCCCAGAATGTAAACTGGAGACGTGCATCTCAAGTGGAGAAAAAGCCCTTTGGTTGTGCCAGAGAGAGCAAAATGCTTTGGAAACTCTGGGTTTCCACTCTTGTCTGCACTCAGAACCAGCCCTGCAACCGGGATGTGTCTTGACGCCCCAAGCAGTGTTTGTACAAGAAGCGAGGCAGGGAGGTGGGATCTCACTACAGGTCCTGAGCCTCGGCTGCATCAGGCAGTTCATGGGTGAGGAAGGATGCCTGCTGATCATGGAATCCCAGCCTGGTTTGGGTTGAAGGCACCTTAAAGCTCCTCCAGCCCGAACCCCTGCCACGGGTAGGGACCCCTTCCACTAGAGCAGCTTGCTCCAAGCCCCTGTGTCCAACCTGGCCTTGAACACTGCCAGGGATGGGGCAGCCACAGCTTCTCTGGGCACCCTGTGCCAGCGCCTCAGCACCCTCCCAGGGAAGAGCTTCTGCCTAAGAGCTCAGCTCAGTCTCCCCTCGGGCAGGTTCAAGCCATTCCCCTTGGCCTGTCCCTACATCCCTTGTCCCAAGCCCCTCTCCAGCTTTCCTGCAGCCCCTTTAGGCACTGGAAGCTTTCAGGTCCCTTCCAACCTAAACCATTCTATGATTCTATGAAAGGAAAGCATTGCTGTGCTTCCCTGAAGGGGATGGGAAGTGCTGCAGGAGGCCTGGCTGCATACAGGGAATGGTTGTGTGACACTGGGAGCAGCGCATCCTACCTGGTCAGCATCAGGCCATTACAGTGGAGGCAAACCCTGTAAGCTGGAGAACAGATCCACTGCCTGGCAGGCCCCAAGCAGGGCACCTACCACTGGTGCTTCCCAGCCCCAGTGTGGACCAGGACCAGGAGACTTGGCTTGGAAGGGTCTGGCATCCAAGCTGGGCAGGAGGAGCTGCGCTGTACTGTGGGTCTGTTGGCGGTGTGCAGATTGTACTGCTGTCAAGGGAGGTGTTATTGGGAAATAGGGCTGTACACGGTTCAGAGGGCACTCGAGGGCAGCAGGCAGGAGGCACTGGAAGAACTGAGTCTGTACGCACCAGCCTCATCTGGTGCTCACCACAGCTCCTTTTAAGTCTCCCCTTGCCCCTCTAGCTCAGTGCAGGACACATGCAGGACCTCAGACTTCCCTCAGAGACCAGACTCCCACGCCTTGATCTCCATGCACTGAAGGCACAAGCAGAGCCGGGTCTGTGGGTGCTGTCAGGAGATGAGTTTTCATCGTAGCTAAATTCAGGTACAGCTTTGCTGAGGAGAACAAGAGGAGCTCAGTCCCTGTTCTCTGCTCCCCGTCTTTAATCCACGCTCCTGCTCCTCACCCCCAGGCTGGAGCTTCCCAAACTCTCATTACACGTGCTTACACGCCTAGGGAAAAGAGACAACACAGAACATTGGGGGGGGGCTCATTAAATACTGGGGGTAAGAAAGCCGTGGAACAATGTTTCACAGCTGATGCTGCTTTGGTGTTTTTAAGAAGACAGAACAAAACCTCACGCGACTCTGCAGGGCGTCAGTGTGACCTGGAGACCCTGTTCTAAGTGAGCGGGTTTCTTGTGACTGCTGCAGGATCTGGATGAGTGTGTGTAAGTGTGCACATCCCGCACGTCCCCCTCACAGCCAGGCACCAAGACCAGGCAGCTGCTAGAGACTAATGAATAAATCCGAAAGAAGCAGATAAATGGATGGGGTGAAAAGGGTACACGTGGAGGATGAATGCTACCAGCTGCTAAGGAGGAAAATGATTGCTACTGCTGAACCCAGGACAACAAGGAACCCAAAGTGGAAACAGTCTTTATCAAGAGCTGAGATGGAGAGTCAAGCAGTGATACAGAGCCAAAGTGATACAGAGCCGGTGATACAGAACCGAGGTGATACAGAGCCGAGGTGATACAGAGCCGAGGTGATACAGAGCCGAGGTGATACAGAGCCGAGGTGATACAGAGCCGAGGTGATACAGAGCCGAGGTGATACAGAGCCGAGGTGATACAGAGCCGAGGTGATACAGAGCCGAGGTGATACAGAGCCGAGGTGATACAGAGCCGAGGTGATACAGAGCCGAGGTGATACAGAACCGAGGTGATACAGAACCGAGGTGATACAGAACCGAGGTGATACAGAACCGAGGTGATACAGAGCCGAGGTGATACAGAGCCGAGGTGATGCAGAGCTGAAGTGATACAGAACTGAGGTGATACGGAACAGTTAGACTCAATTTATCTTTCCATTACGAACAGGAACATAGAATTCACTTGCTAAAAAGAATGTTTCACCAGTCAAACTTTCCGTGGTGCTTTGAGGGCTTGGCCGAGATGAGGAAGGGACCATCCTGCTACTGTCATTCCCTGCTCCAAACACCATGCCTTGTCACCTGGAATTAGCAATGGGCTGAGGTCAGGACCTGGGCTGGAGGCTGGATCCCTTTCTGCCAGAGCAGGCTCAGCACCCGCTCCTGGATTGGCCCCTGGCCCTCATCCCATAGATGAGAGGGTTGATCATGGGAGGCGTTATCAGCTGCCAGGATGTGGAGGTGCTCAGGGATGCTCCGGCCCCAGGGCTGAGTGTAGAAGAAGAGCCCGGGCAGGTAGAAGAGCAGGATGACTCCAGTGTAGGAGCCACAGGTGCCAAAGGACTTGAGACCAGCCTCCATGGAGGACAAGCCTGTGACCACCCTCGGGATCAGCACGTAGGAGACAGTGATGAGGATGGAGTCTCAGCTGTGATCCCATAGGTGCTGCTGGGCCGGATGTCCCCACAGACCAGCTTCACCACCAAGATGTGCTTGCAGCAGGAGTGGGGAATGATGCGGGGGGCGTGGTAAGACAGGGTGGTCACCGTGCATGTCAGGGGGGTGAGGACCAAGGCGCCGCACACGCAATGGCCAGACCCAGCCTGGCAATGGTGGGGCCAGTCAGGAAGGCAGAGTAGTGCAGGGGCTTGCAGATGGCCGGGTATCGGTCCAAGGCCATGGCAAGCAGGACCCCTGACTCTGCCATGGAGAAGCTGTGGATGAAGAACATCTGGGCCATGCAGCCCTTCAAGTTGATGTCATGGGAACGGGACCAGAAGATGCTCAGGAGCTTGGGCATGGTGGAAGTGATGAGCACGAAGTCAATGGCAGCCAGCATGGAGAGGAAGTAAAACATGGGCAAGCACAGGTTTGGGCCCATCCTAATCACGAGGAGGAGCGTGATGCTCTCCAGCACTGCCATAAAGTACATGGTGCAGAATGGGAAGGTGATCCAGAACTAAGCATCCTCCAGCCCAGGGATGCCTGTCAGGATGAAGGACAAGGGACTGGAGTGATTTGGGTAGCACATGAGGCAGGGCTGGAGAGCTGGAAGGGAAGACACAGGGAAAGTTGGTATAGACGATGCCAATAGAGAAAGGAATGAGCTTAAACAAGCCCTGCTGTGGACTCCAGCCACAGACAGAACACCCCTGCCCGTCTTCTCAGGCACACAGACCTGGTGATCCTTATGGGTCCCTTCCAGTTTGAGATATTCCATGGTGTGACACTCCTGTCTCTTACCCAGGTACACTCAGCCCCACCATTGCCAAGAGGCAGACACACAGGGTCCTCACCCAAACATTTGTGGTTGCCTTACCTCTTCTCCCATGCTGGCCTCTGGCTGTTACCTCCATCCTCCCCTCCATAGCCTGGGAGTTACAAGGTAGAAGTTGAGCACATTTAGTTGCCATCAGTACAAAAAACAAAGGTGGGAGAAGGGGGAATATCCAGAACACTCTGAGGATGCAGCTCAGCAGGACTGTGGTCACCAGCACACCTCTCCGATACAAACCAGATCTGCTAGTGCCAGACGTCCCTGCCCGTGTCAAGGGGCTGGAACTGGATGATCTCAAGGTCCTTTCCAACCCGAAGCAGCCCATGGTTCTATGACTGTCCCTGTTTTACAGGGGAAACAAGGTTAAATCAGCCGCTGGCAGTGCAGAAATTAGCTGCATGTTCCTCAGGCGCTTGTACCCTGCTTTCCTCAGTGCACCAAAGAGCCAGACTTCATTTCCTCGGCTTTCCAGACATTTGACTTCCTTGACCCCTAAATAGTTTAATCTCTTCCAGACTGCTTCGAGTCCTCCAGATGACACAAACCAAGAGGCATTTTAATCATTGCTATCTGCAAGGTAAGGGCAAACACTGCAAAGCCAATACAGATGCTGCCAAGACTTGTTATTCGTAATAGTTGATTGCAAAGAGGACTGTCTGTGGCCAGGTACCTTGGCTGTGAATTCAGGGAGGCAGAAGACAGCCCAGCAGGAAATGTGTCTTGTGGCAGGGTTACCTATGTGGAAAGGCCAAACATCCGAGATCCTGTAATCCTGTGCTTGGAAAGAAAGCAGATCCTCCCTCCTTCCTCTCTGTCACAGGCACCTGATCTCCAGTCCCACGTGCTGCTCTGGGCAGCGGTACCTGTACTTCATCTGGTATAATAAAGCTACCAGGTTATTAAATAATGCTGCTCAACCACCATCAGACTCAGTTCTTAGAGAACAGTTAGGGTTCGAAAGGACCTTAACATCATCCAGTTCCAACCCCCTGCCATGGGCAGGGACACCTCACACTAAACCATGGCACCCAAGGCTCTGTCCAACCTGGCCTTGAACACTGCCAGGGATGGAGCATTCACAACTTCCCTGGGCAACCCATTCCAGTGCCTCAGCACCCTCACAGGAAAGAATTTCCTCCTTAGATCCAATCTAAACTTCCCCTGTTTCAGTCTGAACCCATCACCCCTTGTCCTATCACTACAGTCCCTAATGAAGAGTCCCTCCCCAGCATCCTTGTCGCCCCCTTCACACACTGGAAGCTGCTCTGAGGTCTCCATGCAGCTTCTCCAGGCTCAACAGCCTCAACTTCCTCAGCCTATCTCCATATGGGAGCTGCTCCAGCCCCTGAGCATCCTCGTGGCCTCCTCTGACCTTGTTCCAACAGCTCCATGTCCTTTTTATGCTGAGGACACCAAAAATTGGTGAGGCAGGATTTCCCCTTGGTGAAGCCATGCTGGCTGCCACCAAGCACCTTGTTGATTTTCATGTGCCTTGGCATGCCTTCCAGGAGAATCTGCTCCAAGATGTTGCCAGGCACAGAGGTGAGACTGACTGCTCTGTAGTTCCCTGGCTCATCCATTTTCCACTTCCTGAAAATGGGGGTTATGTTTCCCTTTTTCCAGTCCGGGAACTTCACCTGACTGCCAGGATTTCTCAAATATGATGGCCAGTGGCTTCACAACTTCATTCGCCAGCTCCTTCAGGACCCACGGGTGGATTTCATCAGGACCCATGGACTTGTGCACGTTCAGGTTCTTAGATGGTCTTGAACCAGATCCTCTCCTACAGTGGACCTAGGTTCATCATTCTCACAGTCCCTGCGTCTGCCTTCCAAGACTTGGGTGGGGTGGTCAGAGCCTTTGCCATTCTTCCTGGATTCTTCAGCGTGTTCATTGCATGCTGTACCAGTCCTGTTCCTTTAGCAGGGTCTGGTTTCTTGGGTGCACTTCAACACAAGAAATGCCAAGGAATCAACCTTGCTGGTTCAGTCTCTGACCAGCCCATTTGGGTCATGCAAAGAAGCTGCTCCCCCTGCACTTGTTTCATCCACCTTACACCACCTCTATATTCCCTGCATCCTCCTCTTGACGTGCCCTGTGCCAGCAAAGGTGCCCCCAGATCCTGTGCGCACACACACACACAATGACAGGTATCTAGTGCCACATCCTGTACAGAGCATCACACCTTGAGGTTTTCTCTTTCATCTCCCCAAACTCAATCAGCCTCGCATGGACCTCTCCTACCACCATGGCAAGAAAAGCTGATCGAGTTTTATTTGTGCAATCAAGTAGCAGTAACTGGTAAAGTCACAAGTTTTGCTCATTGCAGTAGTCAAATCCAGAAGATTTTTGAGACGAGGCGCCTTGACCTCAGCTTCCCATTAGATTTGTTGCAAACTTGTGATTTATTTATAAACAGTGAAACAGGTTAAAATCCCCTCAGAGCATGAGATGCTCAGGACTGAACACAATGCACACTGAGCTGAAAACTTTAATTGCTTCCGTACTGGCAAAGCTTCCCCTGACTTTGTAAGGTTTGAAGAGCTGCTGGTGCTTCAAGTTGAGCCTTAAACTCTTTTCTCACTCAGTTCTGCCAGATCTGCCTCTGCTGCTAAGCAACAGCCATTGAATTTACCAGATACGATACACTTAACATTGTGTGCAATCCTTAGACACTGTAAATCTCCCAGCCATGCAGCTTGAGCCCCTCAAAACCATACAGCCAGCTCCTTTTGCAACCACATGTGGATGCAATGGTGCTAAAAGCCATCCAGCCCTCCTGCTCAGTGCACAGCTGCCACAAAAAAAAAGCCCCCCTGGATTTTGGGGTTTAATAGAGCTAGATTCTACAATTCCATGATTCCAGAGTGGTCATCCTGTGTGTATCCCTGCCCCAGTATAATCACAGAATGGTTTGGGTTGAAGGGACCCTAAAGCTCCTCGAGCTCCAACCCCTGCCACGGGCAGGGACCCCTTCCATAGAGCAGCTTGCTCCAAGCCCCTGTGTCCAACCTGGCCTTGAGCACTGCCAGGGATGGGGCAGCCACAGCTTCGTTCAGAAGTGATCTCTGATAAGAAACGAGCACAACCCATTGCAAACCCTTCACCCTTTCCTCAAATCATCTGTTTCAGAGCATTCTCCTAGTGTCAAGCCTGTGTCTCACTGGACCTCGTGCCTTTTGTCCTTTCTAGAAGGGAGAAGAGCAAATTATTACCTTCCTCGTGGTGTCTGCCATCCTCTTCAGGTTTGCACAAGCAAGGACAGTGCCAGAGCTATGGTCAGGCAATTGCAGGTCTTCCCAGGCGCCCGGGCTAGCACATGCTCCACCTATGTGATAACAGCTTGTCTGAATCTATTTCACCAAGGACGGGGCTGCAGCCCGATGCCTAACCCTGCTGTAAGTGACCTGCGCAGGAAGCGGAGCGAGGTTCTGACCGGCAGTGCTGTACCACAACAGCCGCTCAATGCGGGATACATAGAACTAATAAAGTAGCTCCTAACTCAGGAAGAGCTGAAGGCCACTGATGTATTGAGGTATCTGCATAGTGCCTTTCTGGATGGATTGCTCTGAGCTTGGCTCAGAGCTTGGCACCTTGCTTCAAAACCCTGGTGTAACACCAGATTGAACGAATAAAATCACCTACCCCTCTCACCCAGATGATGGGACCTGTGGTACCCACACCACCTTCAAGCCCTGCTGCTCCCTCATACCACCAAGCAACCCCTCAGGCTGACCAAGGACCTGTGTGGAAGCATTTATAGCACCCGAGGAACCTCATCAGCCCAATCACTCACTGCTGGGGCCTCAGGTGGAATCACCACAGAGGAGAAACTGCTGCCTGGGAATAGCAGGAATAGCAATGCTTTGTGAGCAAACCCGCTCCTCTCTGCCCCTGCAGGGGTTACGTGTCTCAGCAGCACCGAAGAGATCTCGGGTCTATAACCAGGGGAGATTTGATCTCCGGGGGTAGCAGCTGTGTTCTGGTATACGCTCAGCAGTGCTTGTGTCCTTCGGGCTTCATCCTGGCGGTGTAAAACTCACTTTGGGTTTGGATCCAGTGTCACTGCGCTCCTTCTGGGGCACAAGGTAACAAGTGGATTCTTAGGGCTGGGCTTTAATATCCCCTTTCATCTGGGGATCCTGAAGCATCCATGAACTTTAGGGAATGCTTTGAAAATGGGTGCTGATCCTTTGGACCTAATTTAGGTATCCCCTGTCCTTGCAGTCTGTGAGGGGGGAGGTCATGTATGAACCACAGGTGATCATCGTGGTTCTCTTCATCACGGACTTGGATCTGTTGTCTGTTGGTCTCTACCTTAGGATCTTGAGGACTGTGTAGAGCCTGGCATCCACAGAGGAGAGGAGGAAGGTATTTGGACCTGCATCTCCCATATCTGCGTCGTCCTGCTCTGCGCTTCTCTCGTCACTAACGCACAGGTTTGGTTGCCACATTGCCTCTCATGGACACATCTTGATGGCCAGTTTCTACCTCCTGTTCCCCCCTCTCCCATAAACCCCACTGTGTGTGGTGTCAAACCCAAGCAGATCATAGACTCCCAGACTGGTTTGTGTTGAAGGGACCTTAAAGCTCCTCCATTCCCAACCCCTGCCACGGGCAGGGACCCCTTCCATAGAGCAGCTTGCTCCAAGCCCCTGTGTCCACTCCAGCCTTGAACACTGCCAGGGATGGGGCAGCCACAGCTTCTCTGGGCACCCTGTGCCAGCGCCTCAGCACCCTCCCAGGGAAGAGC